AAACGCTACAGTCTGTTATATAGGACACAAAATCACGAACAGTTACGAGCCGTCCACATAAAGGGACGTCGTATAAAATCCTACGCTTGATTTATATTGCTTACCGCGACGGCCATTTTCAGTGGAACCTAACACGCTTATGGCGCCGTCGACACTATAAAGAAAATTAATTGGCAACCAGATACACTTTCTAGACAATGTGTGACTACTGACGTTTTATACATACGAAATATGAGATTGTTCGTTTATTAATTATACTTAAGTTTAAATTCTCGATACTAGATTTGTAAAGCAACGACGTTAATAACACATATAGCAATTTTCAAAATTACGATATCGTGTAATCTACTTGTAATATATATTTTGAAATAGGATTGCACGACTATAAGATGATGGAAAACTACGACCTGCTTTTCACGTTAAAATATAAAAATTAAATTTATTTTAAGTCACAGACAGCGACTTAATAAAACAATTTTTAAAATCCATTCAATTCAATAAAACATTTATCTTTACGCAAATTAATAAATAAACAATAATGTTTCCCCACCTAGCGGTTATCATTTAACGAATGAATTCCAAAAACAGCGACGACAAAGCTTTCGTCGAAGCTTTCTAAGCTTCAATAATTCAACTGAGTGCGCTTGAGTGTCAATAAATCAAGCTGCGAGCTTTGAGCTTCCACGAAGTTGCAGGAAGGGAATGCATCGTATCGATATGGTCAAAACTACTCCACAGCAATTAAATAGCAAAACAAACGTAATTAAATAAATACTTAACTGTGACTACATAAACTTGCTGAAATGTATTTGTTGACATATTCTCGTTTATTTTTTCATGCAAATAAAAACATTGTTTTAGTAAAAATCTTAGTCGTTAAATTGTTAAAAGAATTTATTGTCTGTGTTTTCATAAAATGATTAATGTCGTATGATTATAAAACATGAACCATACTAGTCTAATTAGTTACACCAAATGTGTCAAGATCTATTCAATCTTTGAGCTACAATGTAGCATTTAAAAACATAAAGTTAAATACAAAATGTTCGCAGCGATCTCCTAATCGAGATTTCAAGCAAAAATGTGTACAAAATTCTTTATCTACCGTTGATGCATTGAGATATGTATGATGGCAACATTTCCAAAACGGTGCTCCACATACAAACGTGTTTGCAATTAGTTAGGTCCAGCTGAGAGGCAGGTCTTGAACAGGTCCCGACGTATCTGATCGTTGCGCACACCGCACGCAAATACAGGCGGATTTAAAATTAGCTATGTTTCAAATGTACTGTTAGAATGTTCCGACAACTGTTCTTACTAATTTCATTTTCATGGTCACTGGATTAATGGAAATTGAAATGCTAAGTGGAAAACATTACAACCTAGTATATTAGCTTTATAGTTCCAAGTTATTTACTAATACAGGCTTGAAATCTAAATAAATTTAAACATTCTATCTTACAGCTGGTACAAAGTTGATGTGGCGTAATCTATAATAATGTTATAAATAGGACATATTTCTATAGTTGGTTTTTTGTATGTATTGAAATAACTCAATAATTACTGCACAGATTTCGAAAATTATTTCACATTTAAAAAGCTACGTTACTAGTGAGTAACATAGGCTAAGTTTTTTATATTTTTTTAATATCACGCGTGCGATGTCGCGAGCAACAACTAGTCCTGAATAAAAAGAAAAACGCGTTTACTACTTATAGATATAGTTTCTACATGTGTAAGATAAAACATTAAAGTAATATTTGCTCACAATTTGTAAACACATTCAGTATGCACGTTGCACAGCAATCGAGGTCAACCTTGAGACAAGTAAATAAATATTTGAATCGGCAATAAACGTTTACCTTTACTAAATTATTGATATTCTAATATGCTCAATTTAAACAGACTAAAATAATAAGTAAAACACTTTGACAAAAATAAAATTGTTTCTGCAAAACTGATGCATATTTCAGATACATCGTAAGAATAATTCTATAGTATTTTTTGATGTTTAATTTTACGAAAGCTTTCTGATTTGCTTCAAAATGTCATCGCCAACAAGTCCATGTCTCTACGGAGAGTCGGCACAGTGTGCTCTTTCATACATTTCTACCAGCCGTCATATCTAGTTCCTCTCCCTTCTTACGCATATCCTCTTTCATTTCCATGTATACCTTCATATTTGCTATAAAATGTACCGACAGTTAATTATTTAATTCCTTTGAATATGAAAATAGCATACAAATTAGTCTAAGTAGAGTGGACAGTTCCGAGCATTAATTTTGCATTCGTTCCGCCTTTGACACAATTGTTTAGAGTACACAAATACAGTTCTATAATATTAATTGTAACCTCAAAGAGGTGAGCTGTAGCTTGCAAATTTAAACAATAATTGTTATCTTGTGCCGTTCCCGTGCCGCTTCATCCGCATGTAATTATGAAAATTTTACTTTATTGTTTACATTTGTTCAAATTATCAATAGCAAATGTCAAAATGACATAACATGACAAACCTTTGCAATCTTGCTTTCTTGATTTTGACAACTTATGGTCTCTTTCCCACATTAGGGTTTTTATCCAAAAGATTTACCCCTAAGTTTATCGGCGTGAAAATATATGGCTTAAAGCATGACGTAAGTGTAGGGCTTTTTATTAAAAAAAAAAGAGGTATTCGAAAATATGCTGTGATTGCTGACATCTTAGGCAACAAAGAAGTGTATGTTTACGCTTTATTATATTAGTATGGATTAAAAAATTGG